AACTTTTCGTCGCATATAAGAATGACAGCTTGCTATGATAATTTCAATCATATGATGAAACGTTTACAACCAAACCAAAGGAGAATGCCTTGGGGACAAGGAGAACCAGAATGTTGCAATGGGACCAACCGGTAACTAGCCAAGAGGAATACGCTATTGTCTTCTGATGGGATCGACCGTCTTGAGTCCCTTCACTACATTATTTCACTCGTAAATGAAATGCTTTCAACAAGTTGGATAAAAGTAAAGAGGTAGAGCTGGGGAAATTGGCCCTAAGAAACAGAAACGTAATGAAGAGCATTAAAAGTGCAACTTTGACGAGAACACGTTGGATGCCGAGATTGTCTGCTGCGATAAGTCCTGGAATGAAGCCAACGCTGGAAATTGTCATAGCCACTACGCCAGAGGGCTCTGGATGTGTGTTCATTAAGGTCTCCCTGGCAGAACAAGCAAGTTACGAAAACGAGGTCAAGCCGACTATATCAGGGCGATGGAAGGAAAGGAATGCAGACGCATTAGCTTGGCCTTGATGCATAGAAGGCTATGGCCACTGGAAAAGCGCTACCTCAAGCTTAGTTATTGCTTTAAACACAAGTAATATAGCGTAAATGGCTTAACAAAATAGACTTAGAAATAGTGCCAGACCTAGGGAATCACTCAGGTAGGCGTGTTCTGGACACAGACAACGATGTGCAGGCTAAATGGCAAGAAATACAGAAGGATCGACAAAAAATAGCAAGCTTGGCTATGACAGCAAAACAGGACTTTAAAGGGAAATATTGATTGCGCTCTTGGCGCACGCATCGATCAGACTATGAAAAGGCCGGGCCGTTTGGCTCCAGACGAAAAAGGGCAGGTGGAGAAAATGCTAAAATGGCGGTGCCCCCAAAATGGCCGCCAGCTCCGGGGCCGAACAAGGCGCGCGAGTGAAGTTGGCTGGCCCTGGCCTCGGACAGTCGGCTCTGGGGGCAAGGCATGTCGGCTTGCCAACTCGGGAGGTGTGCTACAGGACGGATCGACCAACAGTCCCAGTAATGGGACGCCGAATGAGCTCTGAGGGTGGCAAGTCGTGTTGGGCGCACTCACAATCGGAACCTAAGTGCCTGTAAAAGCGTGGGCTCAATCGGGACTTGAGAGGGACAGACCCAAACAGCGAAGCGTGCGCCGATCAAAGTCACTCCGCCCCCGGAGAAAGTGGGTAGGAGTTAGACAAAATTAGGAACGAGTGTTTTGAATGTTGCTTCCCTCTATCTCAGTTAAACCCAGCGAATTGGAACAGGAAATCTGATAAGAAGGACAAATTAAGTCGCGCTTCGAAGATATGGTGAAAGACTGAGTTTCGAAGAGTGCCTTAGTGCTATATTGTGACAAGAATTTATATTAAGGAGGAAAAGTTGGTAGGGAGGAATTCGTGACATGGCCCCATTGGAAACCACCGTGTGTAAGCATAATCGGAGCGAGAATACATACTTCACGAAATAGAGGAAAAATCTGTAAATCAACTATATGAAGCGTGGATTGACCTCGTTGTTGCAACTTGGTCTTGTTGTCAGGGGGACTTAGTAGAACGCACATAGTCCGAAGTCATCTGCCATAGTAGTTGCCCTGATTCCCAGCATCAGACAGTGGACTTGGTACATTTGACAATGCCAGGAAAACGAAATATCCGTATGACGAAAATCATCAGAACAGGGTATCATCCTTAAAAGCATATTCAAACTAACGAGTCAGTAAATACCGCATCGAGAGCTTAGAACTACGGTATATATACATAATTTAAGGATAAGCGGGTGAATTTTCTTAGCTTGTTAGCTTGAATATGGTGGGAAGGATGATACCTTGCTCTGATGATGTCCGTCATAAGATGGACGAAAGCTTAGCACGTTATCACCGGAATTGAAGGAGATTACTTCTGAAACAGCGCCGATAATACAGGATACTCAATAGACTGGTCCAAAAAACAACGTTTTTTCAGCTACGAGGACTTTATATCAAAGCGTAAGATCGGAGAGTCCATACAAATTAACAAAATAGCCAACGTCCTGAGTAGGGGTAACGAGTGTAGAAAATTGTATAGTAACTAGTTGCGGCTATTTTTTATTTATAAGTAGTTTCGAGACTACCAGCTCACCAAGCGTTGAGAAAAGCTGGTTAAGTCTGATAAAAGAAGATTTTGGTCTTGGTAAAATGGGCCTCCACACGATTCCTCCAGGTTGAAATAATGAGTCTTCATAATAGAAGATAAACTGAGCCAGATAATTAATTAGCTCAGACGGTAAAGTATTAGCATCCTAATATTCGCAAATGGAGGGAAATTATCATTTTTATGAGCAAGGGTTGTTTCCAATAAATTAGTTTCTTAGGCTCCAAACTAATTCACGAGTAAAAAACACCACAAGACCAATTGACCGGCCATCGCTAACACAATAGGCAGTATTGAATAAGGTTTTGTAGAAAAATACCATATTGTACAGCAAAATAAATTAATTTTGTCCATACTATCAGCTAATTACTATCAGTCTAATTGGTAAAAAAAGATGTAGAGCCATTATGCATTAAGGAATTTCTACTAAAACGAATAAACGCTTGGCAACTTAAACCAATATCAGTGAGAGACGAAGGAATTGTGAGAGAAGATTGTCAAGAGGTGTTAGAAAGAATGTTATTGAGTTCCTAGATTAAGGACAGTGCAGAGGTGTTTAAGAGAGTTTGCTTTACAGAGCTGATAATTACCAAAACGCAGCCAATATCAGTTTAAGGATAATGTATATCTTGCTCCATCTCATAATTATTTCAACTCCAAGTGAAACTGTGGTCTCGATGTCGTTTGAGAAATATAATCTACCCTAGTTATGTTCAAGTAAGGGCCAAGAGTGTCCGGGTAATACAAGCTGCCAAAGAAACTTTCAAAAACAGTTAAGCAAAGTAAATGGCAGTTAATTTTCTACTACATTAAAATCGCATGTTAGAGAAGTATGCATTAAGCAAAATATAAAAGAAATGTAAGGATGCATCTCAAGATTTATCTACAGCCTATTTACAACCTACTGCTTAGCAATAATCTAAAAAATGAATATTTTTTGATTAACAGGTCTGCATATTGGTAATCAAAGTTGTTTCATCAGCCCAGTCACAATAGCAATTATAAAAGCCTCTAGATATGAATAAAAACTGGGTTTCGATGAGTCTCTCGAGATATCATTGTTTGGGGGACTTTCGTTTCGTATGAAAGTGCATGAAGAAGAAATTCGTAGATCGATCTCACCAGCTGAGGATGGCTGAGTCGCGTTGTACTTCAGCCGTCTGGCTTTTATACGACGTTCAGGTTGACGCAGTCCACGAGGACTCCTCCCTTATTTCGGGTGAAAACGGGCTGAGCTAGGGCCCCAGTGTTAGCGTTAGACTTTTACAAGAATGAGACCCAGCTCTGATGATGTCCATCCTTTTATGGATGAAAGCTCAGTCTGTTTCATTCGAAACGAGGGAGGAAATCTCGTGGACTGCGTCAACCTGAACATCGTATAAAAGCTAAACGGCTACAGTACAACGGGATTCAGCCGTCCTCTTCTGGTGAGATCGACCTACGAATCTCTGCTTTATGTAGTTTCATACAAAACTAAAGTCTCCCCAACAATTTTATCTCCACGAGTTGTAACATAGTGCTACGAATGGCAAAACTCACTGACGATGCCGACTACGATGCCAGCGGAACGTCTGGGTATATACCACGTCCACAGTCCGACTTTGGAAATGATTATGCATACAATTGACTCCGGACAAGGTGCGTTCCTCTAATTCTTCCTACCAATAACACCGAGTTGCGAAAACGAGGTCAAACAACTTCAATATAAAAGCTTGCTTATAAAAAGTAAAATAAGTAATTTAGTCGATAACAATAGCAAATACAACTGCTTCATCGACAATCCCGCAAGTGAAAGCGATATGGGAAAAGCCCAAAGATTCTTTAAATTTTGATCTCAGAGCACTCATGGCAGTATAGCGTAGTGGCTAACGTGATGAAACTCAACTCCTGACGAGGGTGCTGGGCGAGATTGAAACTGCCGTCCATCCTGGACGAGAATATTTCTATGAAGCGAGGCTATTTGGAATTCATAGGAAACATTAGGCCTAATCATATCATTGTTGGACAATTCAAATACTAGTCCGTCATCATCTCAAACGAAATGGAATGAATACAGCTCATATATAAGGTGTTTTTGTTCTTGAATGATCTTGAATACCTTATTTTATACGAATTTTGTTGTATATTTTCATTTCGTTTGAAGGTAGGTCGATCTCACCAGTAGAAGATATCTAATTCCCGTTGTACTGCAGCCGTTTGCCCATGAGACATTCTACCTCGTTTGGTTGAAAACGGGCTAAGCTTATTCCATCATATGATGGACATCATCATACCTGGAATTCATTCTTGTAAAAGTCTCAAGTTAACTCTATATTAAGAAGACTGTCCGGCTCTATCTTAAGTCTTACATATGCTCATAACTAAAAGCAAACATGTATAGATATAGATACACATATAAAGGTTTAACTAATTATCTTCCTCATTGGTCGTGGTACTTTTACCTGAGCGTGTATGTGTGTGTGCGCTAACATATATATACAATACTGATCTTAAAGCAGAGCGATTAAAAATCCTAACGCCAGGCTTGGAGCATCAAGGCTTAATGACCTAAGAGAAGAATCTGATCGAGACTGCTTAAATCCGTAAGCAACTCTAGTTAAGATAATGAGGTGTAAGCTTGTGCGCATGTAAGTTAGGTTATGAAATCATCCGTAATAACCCTCCAGTCTATGGTAATTAAGGTTTAACGAACCAAGGAAATGCATGACTGGAATTGCGTAATCTCGTACACCAGGTTTTTTTTTGATGAACATAATATGCATGTTGGATGAGTGTGAATGAGATTAGAACAACCTTTGGGCTTACAGGCTGAGTTGTCATTTTTTTCCAAATTCTGGGTTGATTTAAAATATTACTGGATAGCGAGATGACACTAAATCATCCTGAATTTGCAAGGCTACTCAAAGTAAATTAATGAGACCTGAGTGAAAAAAAAGTGCATAGAACTTCCTATCCCAAATATTGTCAAATCTAAGGTGGTGAATTTTATTATAATAAATGCCCCAAAGCAACAAATTTTGTTGGATAAAAATTAATTGTTCTTAGAGTAAATTCAATATTATCTTCAACCAATCTGAAAACCACACTATAAAAAGTTATATGGCGCACACGAATATGCATATTCAGCAAAATTCCCATTACCAAGTAGATATAATTGGTGCCCTTTCGACAAAAAATGTAAAGTACTCAGTGAATTACTAACTGGGGCTGATCTCTTGTATAAAGTATTATCGCTAGGTGTACTTATAAGGTCAACGTGGACAAATATAAAGGTAAATACTATAGGAAGCAAGCGTTTAATATAGATAGGTTAGAAACGTATTTATCTTCATTCAACCAATTCCTGTAATATCAAGCCATGAAACTCATCAATTCGATTTAATCTTGAAAAAACATGTATGTGTCTGAGCATATCCATGTGAAGCAGAAGACATAAAGGTAATGGATAAACTAAGAGGACTTGAAAGAGATTGCTCGGAAAATAAAATTAAGCAAGGTTAATTAATAGCAGTAAAGTGATGGTAATAATTTATCCTAGATTTATGGTACTTATTCTATCTAGTGTCGACTACAAAAATATGACCAGTTATGCATACCGTGGTCTTGTGAGTTTGGAACAGACAAGGTTAACATTGATGTGTATTCACCCTGTTTCCGTTAAGGTGATAAGACGACTGGTAACTGAATTGTATCACAATGATATGAATAGACCTTTCGTTTACATAGAATCTCACAGAGCCTTGCTTGAAAATAATAATTCTTATCTAAGCTGAAGTGGACTGCAGTTTCGACCCCGCTTAGGTCCCATCAACACCCTAAGCGGGAAATGAACCACGAGAGTGCCGCGTATAATCTTGACACGTTAGTAACTAAACAACATTGCCACGAATGCCCTTGGGTTAAAGTGAAGATGTAAATTTCAAAGAAGGCCAGGTATTTTCCCATATCACACTCTGTGATGGGATCGCCAATGAATCAAAGTTGTATTTGAAAATCTTTGCATTCATTCATAGGAATAACCTTCAAAGGTGGAATACATACCACTCGTTAATAGATTAAAATGTATCATGTCCATCTTATTCCATCTATAATCTCCGGATGCTCCCCCGAAGCCCTAAATTAGAATTTTGGTCGACATAGAAATTACATAATCTTAGTCATATTTTTACTTTGATCATTTAACCTTGATAATCTGAAACTACTTTTGGGTTTTCTTGTAATTACACTGCAAAGACGCGGAAATGTGGTTTAGTCGTTAATGTGCGGAGATAATACGCTGTACTGTCATGGTTCGAGTCTTGCTAGGGGTGTTGATAAGACCTATACGAGGTCGTAACTACAGTCCACCCAAGATGAAAATACCCTTTTGGGAGAGCAAGATCATATGCAATTCAATGGAAATGTAAGCTCTACTCATATCATTGAGGTAAAATTCAAATACTAGTCTCCTTATTACCTTAAAGAAATAGGATGAATACAATTAACATATAAATGATCTATTAGTGATCTTAAAAACCTACTTATACAAGAAAAATAAGGTTAACAGTGGCTCAGTGGATAGCTTCGAATAGAAAGCAACTAAAATGAGTGCAATTGTAATAAAGCCCTACAAATAATAAACATTGGTAAAATTATCAGAGAACAAAGAATTTTGGTTTTGATGAAGTTTTCGAGGCTATAACGTAGAGCCAATGACTTCAATCGAAAGGAGGGGTGAAAATTGTAATATAGGTGGTGGAAAATATGCAATAAGCCGAAGAGAAAATAAAGCTCACCTTAGTAAGAACTGTCGCCTGACGTAGGTTTGCATGTGTGGAAAGATCTGCAATAGCCTGATCCCTAGCCGCCTCAGCAGCCGTAAGTTTGGCTTCAAACTCAAAGAGTTGCAAAGACTTTTCGTGAAGCTGTGGAAAAAAGCATGAAAATACGAGAGGTAATCAGATGAATGAAACGCAGTCCTTTAACTTTAGTTCAAATATAAATATAACCAAGCTGGATATTTAAGAGAATATGCTACACAGCTATTTTTACATATTGAATATTGCCTATTTAGTAAAAGCAAAAATGGGAATTGGGATGTCTTATGGAATATATCATCGACCTACTTAAAC